AAATAGAGCAGGTCAGCAAGGGGCCACATCACAGAAAGCCCTGTCACTCCTTCTCTTTCTCCCCATACCCTTTCTTGCTTATTTTTTCAGTTTAAATATCTTCTACCTTAAAAACGCTTACAGCAGTTCATCTGTGGAAAAACAATAGCTTTCTGGATCAGTCTGCATTCTTATGTGTTTTTTTTCCTGAGAGGGACAGCCACCCATCTCAGGCATGGATATTTGGGAAGTTCCTGAGTGGGAGTGGACGGTGGTGCTCCAGGCCCCTGTGTGTGCAAGTGGGAGCGGGTATGTGCGCACTGGTGTTCCCCCAGCTGTTTAAAAGAGATATATTTGTACCTTGTAAGCAAAACTCTCCTCATCGATTAATTGAACTGGCAGAGTGACTTATTGCCATAGAGACACTAAAGGCAGGAAAGGACAGAACATCATTTTTAGATTGGCTATAATTCAGAGATATTGCTTATGTTACTGTGTCTTGACAATATATTTTTTAAAAATTGCTCTAAGCGTAGGTGCCAGCTATGGAGATAAATGTGTGATCACGTCATTGCTGTTAGAAATACCAAGAAAAATATTCTGCGACTCCGAAGGCTGGACTGAGCATGCCTGCACTGGCTCCAGGAGGGTGATGGTCTACACGGAGCCCACGGGTACCTGTTGGGGCGGTGGGGAGAGGCTGCTGCTCCAAGGCAGAGGCCAGTCCTGGGTGCTCAGCAGGGGACATGCGGGCTGTCCAGCAAGGGGCTTGGGGCATGGGGCTTGACGGAGTCCTGTCCCCTCCTGAAGCACAGCTGTTCTTGTCCAGATGGTGCACTGGATTTTCCTTTGGGAGTAATGGCTAATTAAAAAGGCTCACAGTTTCGATGACAGCTGTGAAGGTAAAGGTGATGTTCGGCTCTGACGTGATCGATGGTTAAACAGCCTTGGGAGTCCTTGAGCCTAACAGACGTGGGGGTGGGAGCCCTGCATGACACAGCCATGGAAATTCTCTCCAAGTCCCCTATTAGTCATGAGAGTAGGCAGCCTGCCTTGCCTGTGTGGCCTTTATAGGAACAATTACAGAAAATATCCTAGGCATCAAGGGGACAAGAGAGGGAAAGGACTCTTTTGGAGACGTACAGAAGTGAACTGTGAAGTGAATCCCTAATGAGATCAGTCATCCCTGGGCAAGTCCAAAGCCTTCTCTAACTTGGACCTCCATGGAAGTGTACCAAGAAACTTTTTTCCCTTCACACCAAAGCTTCCCTCCAAGCAAGGAGAAACATGGAGGGTGACATCCTCATTAGGTGAGGTGTGCTCTTCTACTTATGCCTCTGCAGTTCTGCCCCAGGTTTCTGCTGCAGCAGTGGTATACAAAAAGAACGTAGTGACTAAGACAGAAATGTGCCTGCAGCTTTGCCTGTCCTTGCCTTTGTAAAATGAATTTGGAGACTTCCAGTAGAGATCATAGCATGTTGCAGCCACAAAACCTGGCCTGAATGCTTGGATCACTATCGGTACAGACATTTAGCTATAATAGCATTGATGAAAAAACATTATTTGTATTTGCAAAGAGAGTTACTGGCTGCAGGTAGAGTTAGTATGTCTAATCAGTAACTGCTGCTGATTTCTGGAGGCCAAGGCAGATGATTTGGATTAGGCTGCAATACAAGGTGTTGGGTATGTCTGTATGTTTATATGACACCCAGGAGTATGTTAACGATTTGTCCAGTGTGAGTAACTGGTCATGACACCTCTCAGCAGAGGTGTCTAATGTGGAGCTGCTGAGATATGTAAGGTAGAGGTTGAGAGTGGCAAATGATGTCAGCTGGTGAGAGAGGGCCAGAAGGAAAGAAGAAAAAAGAGGAAGACAAAGTTCTGAGGGATAGAAGGGGAAAATGGAGAGTGGAAGATTCAATCCACTGAAAGATGACAGTACTTATCTCAGAGGTAAGATTAAGAACAGGAGCAGTGGGGAGCTGTGAAGGAGGAGAAGAGATTCAGGATAGATCTGGTGGTGCTGCGGGCACCTGGGATGTAGAGGAGGCTAAGCATGAGATGTTCATATTCAGCAAAGATGGCGCAAACCAGACTGAAGCTGATCTTCGATGGAGATGAGAAATTCTTGGCAATGGTGGTTGGCTGCACATTCAGATGGGAGATGAAAAATATCAGGGATGAAATGGGGCTGTGCTTGAACTTCTGCAACCGTTCCTAGCAGACAGCTATCCACACTGGTGCCAAATGGTTGGCAGACTTACCACTGAGGCCATGGAACAGGTAGATATATGGGTGACAAATGTCCCTCCTGTTTAGGGGAGGGTAGCGTAGTGCAACCAGTGCAGCCCGTGCTCTGTTGTACCTAAACGAAGAGCGCTCTCAGTCCAGCAACTTTCTGGAAGAAAACATGGCATCTTTGGCGACACGCTGTGGGAGTTGTTAAATTTTCTGGCTTTTTTATTAAACTTGTTTGAAGATCTGCTCTTCCAGCAGGGTCTGCAGTTTGTGTGGACTTCCTAAAGCTACTGAGCAGAGGAATCCTTGGAGAGACAGTGAGCCCCAGAGGCAACATTTGCCACGGATTAAGAAAAGGACTGCACCGACATCTGCCTACAAGCTTTTACCAAAACTCCTCCCCAAATGTGCATTGCTGATCACATGCAGGCAAGTTTACTTAAGCTGATGCATTGGAGTTTGGAGCAGAGAATCTGCGGCAAAATAAACATCCAGTTTGCTGTGTTATTGCATAGGTATGAACAAGTAGAAAAAAACGGGGTCATAAGAATGGCAATGCAAGGCAAATGCTGTACTACTATGTTTAAAAGAGAAAGGACATGTTATTACCAGAAAAAGTTAGACTGGGTGAGGCTATATGGTTTCAGCACGCTTCCCTGTGATACCTCTGGGTATGAATCAGGCCCATACTCAGCTTTCCAACCATGAAAATGGTGGCTATTTAAAGAGCAGCAAGTACTTTTTGAGTTTTAAAGATGCTTCAAATTTGTTATGTGTTTATTGTAATGAAAAATGATGTTATTATTTCAGCTGGTTGAAATTTTTTGCGTGGAACATTAATCTTCTGAAAAATGAGGCTCTGCAGAAACTGACTCAGAGTGTATGAAGGCAAATGATTATTTTTTTAAGAAAATTATATTTTAAGAAAAAAGGAAATATTTATTTTTAAAAATGTCATATTTGTTTGAAAAATATCAGTAGTTTTCCAGCCAGCACATCTTACAGTGCCTACAGTCTGTAAACTGGTGATTTATTTTGCCTAACTGAAGGTAAGGAGCATTTTTCTGTTCTCTTCAGTGAGGGATGGATTAGGCCCCAGAAGAGACTGTCTGGTTACCATTATTTTTACACCCTTATAATGTTTTCTGAGACGTCGTTTCTGTAAAGTAAACTGGAAATCAAATTATGTCCCCTTCACTCAGATTGTAAAAAAACCTTTCTAGGGGTAGAGCTGCCAGATGTATTTTGTACATATGGTGTACGCTTAGAAGTTGTCTCTCAGTACTGGGAGTCTGGCCACCCCAGTCCTGTGTCTCCTGGGACTGGAAGGAGAATAAGAGTTCAGGCTTCACCAAGGGAGAGATTTCTCTGCATCTGTGTAGCCTCATACACCTTAACTTGCCTACATGGAATTTGTCTGGTCACCTACATGTGTATTCATAAATTGTACCCCTCTTTGGAGTAAGAAATCAAAATGGAGCATTCCCCTTTTTATTTAATTAATTCTATTCATATGCATGTAAAGGATTGTTTCTTGGTGTAACACTGAAGCCTGTCACTCAAAATTAATGCAGACTATGTACAATCAAAAAAAAAAAAAGATTTTTGGATATATATTTTATTTGACAGTGGTTTAGAATATCATACAGTAAACAAGATTTCTGTAAAAGTTAATTTATCCATAGTGGTGCGTTTCATAAAAATAGTTGCTCACTTACAGCCTTTCTGTGACTATTAATACATGGAATTATATTTATAGAGATAGAGCTGTACAGGGTAAATTCACAGCTAACACTACACAGAAATATTATTTGGAATGGGGTTTAGATGATGTGCTGTCTTCACAGGTTATCGATTACAGCCGCATAAAGCAATTACTGCACAAGGAGTAGCTGTGAACTGTGCAAATTAGAGTTTATGCAAGCATAATCTCAACTGTTTTTCAGATTTCATTGTTTGCTTTCTTTATACATAAAAATAAGATACTGGGACGTGCATCTACACTACAGAAGCATTGTCCAAAATCAGATTCAATAAATTAATGGCAAATTATATTGGATTCTAGTTCAGGGGATAAAGATTTTTTTTTTTCATTAAATAAGAGTTTTATAAACAGCTACATGGACTTGTGCTTTTTCAGAAATTATAAATGGATTTCTCTCTCTAAAAAAAATTGTTTGAAAGCTGCAAAATCCTTGACTTGAGGCTTTTCAAATAATTGGACAGGAAGAAACACGCCTATAAATTTCTCAGTCCAGTGCAATGTTTGAGACATACAGTAATGTGCTAATTTCTTGGAACAAAGCCAATCTCAATCTAATTTTTCAGCAGAGCATGTGAGGAACTAAGATTGCTAGAGAACATTAGTTTTTAAATATGAATTTTTGACAGTACTTAGTTTTATGATTTTTTTTTTTGATTACCAATGTATTATTGCCCAGGATTTTCTTTTAATTTTGACAGACAAATAAGCATATGTGCACTTACATAGACACAAACGCATCTTTTTGAAACAAGATAATGACTGATTGACTGAACTCGGAGTTATTTCCTGTGAAGGCAGACTGGAATGTTTACCTGGCACTTAAGGCTTGAAATTCAAAACAGACAAGCAAGAAAGATAAAACCAAAAAAAGAAAAAAAAAATGGAGGTAGGGAAGAAATGATAAAATGGAAACCATTTTAAAAATGGAGATATATCGAATTTACTGAATGAGGACACTGACAACTGTATTTCAGAAACCAGTCTAATTACTGTTAACGTGTGCCTTAGAGGCACCTGCTCTGCCAAACTGAGGGAATGAAAGGTGAGAGTGTCCTAACTAAATGTAGATGGGTATGAAACATAGCACTGTTGGTAAGTGAAGCTCTCGTTTTCTGCAGGAGGGAAAGACCTTTCCTTAAGGAAACTGCAGCTTTTTCTCTGTAGCACTCTTCCTTTCAGTGCAAGGGCCTTGCAGGTGTCTGGGTTTTGAGCCTGACCAATTGGTTTGTGTGCTACCTCGCAGGATTTGGGGAACCTGTAATAAATCGCTTTCGAGAATAATTTGCAAATACAACTCCACCCTAACTCCTTTCCAATGTACAGAAACATGGTTTGTTCACAAAAATGGCAGTAGAAATGGTATCACAGAAACTAATCCACTGGATTCCCCACTCCTCCCATAGCGCCCAGTGAACTATGCTACAGGGTATCATGTGGACTATCCCAAAGCATTAACAGTGGAGACGTGTCATGAGTGTACAGTTCCGAACGATGCTTCAAAGAAACCCTTTAACCCCTGTCTAGATATGTCGAGAACAATTTATTTACAACATTTTAGCTCCATGAAAAGATCCTCTCTCGGTTTCAGCTTGCTCCGTGCAGTTTTATTTAAGGCGATGTTCCAGTTTGTGATTGCTCTAACTTGTTCCAGTTTCTTGATATAAAGTTTGAATGAAATCCAAGTCCTTCATGCAGTGGGAAAAAAAATGCTAAAGCTACACTGCACTATTCTTCTCTGATGTACTGTCCTTCATATTGTTTTGGTTTCTTCCATAGCTGCCAAAGTCCCTAAAATGGAATTGGGACTTTAGGGTCGATTTTAAATCTCCGTGTTGACTATATGCTTTTGAACTTATTAGATACTGTGCACATTGTCATGGAATTACACACTAATGTTTTCATTCCTCAATGCTTTGTGTATATGTGTGATAGTTAAAATAAATTAAAACAAACCAATGTGAGACAAAAACTAAGAAGAATGTTCTGTGTCAGTTTGAGACAGTTAGAGGGCAACAGTCCCTTGCTTATCTGCTCATGGCAGAAGTACCAGACTTCAGGACGCTAGGTAGCTTATCCGAGCCAGGGATTTTCCACGGCCCTGGGGAGACCGTTGCCTTTCGAACTGTGGTGTTGGTGCTGCGAGTGCTAATGGAGTGGAGATGTCCCTTCCTGGGGAACTCGCCGGGTTTCCCATCAGGGTCCCTCTGGCTGTGGTCCATATCACTTCCAGGCGAGCTGCAGCGGTTGCTACTGTACGTCTTGGCAGCACCTGTATCGAGCTTGACATGGTCGGATGCTGCAGCTGACTTCTTCTCGCTGCTATCCGCGGATTTGTGATCTTCTTTTTTGCTAAGAGATCCTCCTCTCTTGCTTTCCGGCTTCCTCAGCCTCCCAAACTGTTCATCACTGGTTCCAGCACACACGTGCTCTCTCGCGCCAGCCTCGATCATAATGCTGTGTCCCACCGCTTTGCTTTCTGAGGTGGGCCTGCCACCATCAGTGGTCTTATTTTTGCCTTCTGAATATCCTTTCCAAGAAGCCTCTTCATGCTTTGACCTGTCTACCTTTTTAGGACTTGCTGACCTTTCTCTTTGTTCTCCTAACCTTTTCTTTTTGTGACCGTTCACCGAAAGCTCCTTTGGTTTCCTTACATCGTGTTCCCTCTTGATATCCCATGTTGGCTCTGGGCTTATCTGGTGAGAAGGGTCAGAGGGTGGGGCTATGTGTGATGAAGATAATGGTGAGATTATGTCATCGAGGGAAAGAGCTACTTCCGGCAGACCTGGGGAGGTGGCAGAGGGAGCACTCCAGGAGTTTGGTTCGTCTGTTGTAACAACAAAGAAAAGGGAGTTAAGGGCGTATTCAGCAACACAGGGCGTGTATTGCATAGGCATATGTATTCTGAGCAACATCAACATCTGAACCACATACCGGACTGAAACTCCTCTGTCTTAGGTGAGGCAAAACTCCCAGGGGAGTCAATGGGGAGTTAAAAAAAAAAATCTTCTCCCCCCTCCCCCACCCTCCCACCCCCCGCCAAATAAGAAGAGTTCAGGAGAAGCAAGAACCACAGGGTTGGTAACTGCGAATGTTGGAAACCTCGGTCTTTTTTCATACAGATTCTTCTTTCCTCTGCCTACGTTAAATTATTCTTAAAATAATAAAGGCACGTGCTCATGAAATCAAATTGCCTCTTTTGTAGCCGTATAATGGATTTCTTAGCTGGGCAATATCAGGGCTGTCTCTGAGGACAAATGAGAAGGACTTTCTGCCATCTATTAAACATGTCCCTACGAGCATATAATAATTGACAAGAATTTGTAGCTCAGATAAGGTCATCATTGAATTCTGTCTCGTATTTTTTCTAAACAGATATAATATTGCAGTGTTTATGGCCCCACAATTCTTACAGGGTACTTACAAAGCTCTGCCTTTATATCACAGTGTCAGCCGCTGAGTCTCTTGGCTGTGCATTTTGAATTTCTCCTGGTTACTTAGCCTCAACACAATATGGTTGGACTGTGCAGATCCTGTTTAATTTAGCTAAATAGACATCTCCTTTGCTGAATCATGATGATTTGCCTAATCCATTGGTACAAAACAGAATATTCTGAGATGTCTTTCTCTTGCATACATGATCCTCATTTCTTTTGATTAACATTCCAGCAGACAACAAATCCATCATGACTAATGACAGCACGACTATTCTTACCCATCTACACAGAGGTTAGAGAAATCACTGAACTTGGCTAATGTCATTCCCTATTTAGCACCATTGCCTGGCTCTGAATGGTATGAGCAATAATCTGTCAGAGATGAAGGACTACCTCAGGAATCCATGGAAACGAGGTGGAACTTGTGGCAAGAGCTGCATATTTCACGGGGGAGAAAATGTAACCTTCTAGCTGAAAAACAAGCATGGACTTCTGCAGGTCAGGACTAGTATCTCTCAGTGATATCAACTGTCCTTTAAAAGATACATTTATTTTTCTCAGTGCTATGGCTGCTTTCAAATTATCATGAAGATGCACATCATCTCGAAAAATGGAATGGGTTTTACTGCCCAGCCTGGGATCTGCAGCTTGCTTGACTGAGACGGCGCTTTTAAGTTAATAGCTTGATTGAGTGATTGCTGTCTTGCAGATAAAAATAGGAGAGACAATAGTGAGGTGGGTGACGTAAAGGGAGGGAGCAGCGTGGTTAACTGAGGAGCTATTTACTTTCCCAGATGGTGTTTGTCATATGCTTTTGCATAATGAGCATATGTATGGAGAGGATTAGCATTTGAGAGGGGTAGAAAGTACAAGTTCTGTGTAAGACAAATAAACTTTGAGTTGAGAATCTAAATGGGCTGAGGGTCTCAACTGAATTTAAAAAAAAAAAAATAAAAAAAAATCACACTTTCTTACCCTCCAGTTAAGGCTGAGTAATGTACCATCTGCTCCCTGCTTGGCACTTGAGCATGAAAAAATAAAAAGAAGGCTCATGCATGTAGAGTGATCAGCACTTAGGAGCTTGCCTACAAAAAGCATCTCCTTCGATGGGCTTGTTCTTTACTTCTGCTCTTCAGTGCCCCCCCTCTGGTCCAGGACCACAGGCTGTGCCTGACGGGGGAGGCGCAGACCCCACCCCAGCTCTTTTTGGATCGGAAATCCAAGGGATTTTGGTTAACACTTGAATTGGGGACCATGCATAGGGTCCAAGTCACTTTGCCTGTTTCTCTAAAACTATCCCAGGACTCCGCCGAGCAAGATGAAGCTGCCTGTGTGCACCAGCAAGGTACCTGAGCCAGCACTGAACAAGTCACCTCGGGCCTTGGAGAATTTAGTCTGTGCTTTTTATGGCCTTGTCACACCTCACCAGGGCAGAGGCGGTGCCGACCGTTGGCCTGACCAATGTTTTTCACTTAACTACAGTCTTCTTTCCCAGTTGTCCACAAGATGGTGTTTTTCACTGAGTGGCAGTGAAGAGCAGTAGGCCATTACCAGATCTTGTGCAAGGCTCTGAGAGTATCTGAACTTACAGAAATAGCTTGTTACTTTGGGAAGTGTCAGCTGCACACCTGTAAAAACATCAAATGGTCTGGAGCAGCAAGATGCTTTTGGGTAACAAGATTGCTTCTGTGCAAAATGTGCCACTATACCCAAATCAGCTGTTTCTTGTCCAGGAGGACAAGCCAGGTGGCCACCATTCAAAATCAGGGTGGCAAACGCCTCTCGTGGCTCCTCTGAGGCATGAAGGGCAATATTGTACCAGTTATTTGTGGGACACTCAGGGAAGGAGACCTGGGGGAGAGTGGCCTGCTGTTTTATTCCCTAGAGGCAAGAGAACCAATTTATTAATGGACTGTCCCCCTGGACAATTTTCTTTTTTTTCTGTTTTCTTTTTTGGAGGGGAGGGAAAAAACACCAAATGTTGGAGTGAGAAATTGTAGCTGCTTAGAACCTACCTCAACAAAAGTGAATCAATGTATTTGTTACATGTAACGATACATAAATACAGATATCTATAAACTAGGATGTGCAATATCATATGCATTACTGTATTTCTGCCTCTCCCCTAGAGAAAAAGACAACCTGCCTCTGCCTCCCTCTAAGAAAAAGACAACTTGACCAACTAAACAAGAAGACTTGTAGCCACAGCTTAAAGGGAAATTTTGGCTGTGGGAGAACCCCAGATGGGCCACAGACTGCCATTTGTTTAAAATACTGTGCCTGGCCTTCTTGCTGGGGAGGCGTCTATATGGGCTGTATTTCCAGTGGCTAGGGGAAAAAGCTGCCATGAAATAAACTATCATTCATATTCTGTGGCAATATAGTACTTGCAAGTAAGAACTTGACAAAATGACTTTCTATAAGGTTTAAGTACCATCAATCTGAGACAGTCAAACCCCCACCAATGCTTTTTCTTTCAAATGAAATGAAATTATGTAGAAAGTCATCCTCAGCCTTGGTAGACGTTAATGTCAACAAGCCATTGTTGCAATATGTCACTGGCTGGTGAGGAGAATACTGATGTGAGGGCATTGTAGCTGACTTTCCTCTAATGTTTGAATATTAAGGGAAAAATATCTAAATTACTAGAGTGGAGTAAAGTGCAGTAATGTAAGTAATTAGTTGCTCAAAAGAAAAACCTTTTAAAGAGCTGTGTTCAGGCCATAAGGGTTCATTTGGATTTGTTCAACCAGCACTAAAATGATTGCTTTTCCATAATAAATATAAACAGGAGAAAAATGTAAAATTTTATTCTGTAGAGCAACTAAACTAATGATTTCTCTTTATGCTTATTCTGAGATTATAGCTGCATTTTGGAGGCAGTTATTAATATTTCTGAATAAATATTTTTCCTTTAGTTTTTAAGCTTTATGTAAAACCTATGTGTTAATTGTGAACATAACTTACTTTTACTGTCTGTTATTCCAAGACCTCAAAACATTTTGCAAACATACTAAACCAGAGACAGAGCAACGATTTTACTTTTTTTTCCCTTCACCTCTAGGAGGAACAGAAGACAGTATTTGTTTAACAGACCATGAACTACTAATGCCCAAACAACTTACAACCAGAAGTGAAGGATATCACATTCAGTTGAAACTGCCGTAGACATTTAGGGACGATGTAGTTTTAAATTTGTTTTTGACTTTGTCACTATGGATATCATCCTTACTGTGGAAGAAATTGTTTTTCAGAGGTATACATCTCACTGAAGGCTAATAGATGCCTTCCTCTCTTCTTTGAAGGGAGAAAATCTCCCTTGACCTACTAATTTAGACAAGATAAATGAGCCAGGAGAAGCACTATAATCTGTCACTGTGATGGCATTTGATTTGTTGGAATTTAGTAGGTGTCTTCTGGGTGGCTTTTAGCTTCCACAAGCTACTGTCATGCAGGTTGGTGGCACTTCTCCATGGGATGTGTAAGAATGACTCACCTACGACCTGTTTCGCATAACTCCCATGGAAGGAGTAAATTGCTAACCGAGTAAGAGACACCAACAGGCACAAGATCTTGAGTGTGTAGGAGGACAAGTAGGAGATGAACACAGCCATTTTGGAGGAAGAGTGACAAAAGGAAAACATCAGGAGCAGAAGTTTTCTGTCTAAAGGCTTTTCTGTTTGAGGTAGAACTGCCATGTACAAGAACTGTTTGCTTTGCTACGTCAGCTTACGCACGTTCAGTGGAGTGGAAATGAGGGTACTACTCTCATGTGTCTGCTTGCTCCTCTCCTAACTAAAGCCTGGTCTTCTACCTGGATCCAGTGCTTGCTGATGGCTTACATCTGAACCACTAGCAAAAGAAACCTGGCTTTTCTGCTAATGGAGAAGAGAGGTCTGTCTGTATTGCTTTCTGAGCATTGCCTAGGTACTAAGTAAGAGGAAAGAGCTCAGCCTCCTGATAAGTTTATACCATTTCCTGCAATACTTATGTTTTCTTTACAGGTTGTCCTCCTAAGATTCTGTCAAGTCTAATCTTGCTGTGCATATCTGCTCTGCCAAGACCTCAGGTCAAGAGAAGTTAGACCTCGCATTTGTGACTAGGTTCGCCTCTTGTATCAAAATATTTTAAGTAATTTCTTGGTAGTATATCAAGAATGTGAGATTTTTAATCAGGTAAAATTAATCATAAAGTACTAATATTAATTTATTTAATATTTAATAGTAATGTTAAGACTATTAAGTACAATAAAATCTCAGTGCCTTTTAAATTTCCAAATTATGTGAATAACTAACAATATATTAAAGCTTTGAACACTTTCAGTAGTCTGAATGAAACATTTCCTGAAATGTCTAAGCAGCTGTTTTCGTATCTTCCCAGAATTATTCTC